TTCAAAACCAGGCAATGTTAACATTATATTAATGTGGTTCAAAGCAATTATGCAAATGTTGTAAAAGGCAACACTGTAAAATTTCAATTGACTAAATGGAAGCGTAGAATGTGTGATTTAAATCCTTACAATGGCACAACTTATGTCTACAATGCAAAATATAATATGATTAAAAAGTTAATTAGAGCTCAAAAACAAATGTTGAAAATCTTTTTGAGTAAAAATTAGTGAACTAAATATTTGTATATGGAATGCCAACGATGTTTACCAACACAAATTCGAAATCATTAGATTTCTAAATAAAACAAGTAAGGAAGTTGTAAGTTCGAGTGCAGCCGAACATTTTATTCTCTTGCAACTTGTAACATCAAAGCCGGCTAAATACAGGGTGACCCACGAATCGGGCTACAAAACAAACCGTAACTCAATTATCGAATCAATGGACTGCTTCATTCAGTCAGATTTCTGGGTTTTGTTTTGTACACCCCTTGCTTGACATAACCCCATTTTTTTTAACACGCTTATGAAGATGCGTGGGTGAATAATTACCACCAAGAGTTATTAAGACTGTGGTCAGGAAACATGGATATTCAGCCATGCGGGTCAAACGAAGCGATAGCGTACTATATAGCAAAGTACATATCGAAATCAGAACCTGAAGGCGTAGATTCTGGAATTGCGCAGGCAATACAGCAAATTCAACGTGAAGAGACTGATCTCTCACGCAAACTGTTCAGGATATGTATGAAGATTCTTCATGAACGACAAGTATCAGCTGCAAAATGTGCGTATCGACTGTGTCATATCCCATTACGGCTACAAAACAAACCGTAACTCAATTATCGAATCAATGGACTGCTTCATTCAGTCAGATTTCTGGGTTTTGTTTTGTACACCCCTTGCTTGACATAACCCCATTTTTTTTAACACGCATATATTAGTTTCACATGTATGGCTGTTTGTAACTAAAAAACTAAACTCAACACGATTACAAAGTATGCGCAAAATGTTTGCATACTTTTTAACACTCTTTTATTAGCTGCATTTCTATGTGTATCTGTCTGTTTGTAATCAAACTAAACCCAACACGATTACAAAGTATGCGCAAAATATTTGCATACTTTTTAACACTTTTTTATTAGCTTCATTTCTATGTGTATCTGTCTGTTTGTAATCAAACTAAACCCAACACGACTACAAAGTATGCGCAAAATATTTGCATACTTTTAGGCATATTTTGGCATCTCAAAGGGAACAAATCAACTGAACGGACAACAAAAATTATAATATGTAGGATAAAATTTTTTAATGGCAGATCAAAATATGGAATTTAATAAAAAATAAAAATGAATTGAATAAATGAGAAGTTAGTATTGCTTAAAATATTTTTATTATCTTACAAGAGACTTAGACTATTCAGGAATTTTTATTATTGAAACTACAGTTTTATGGTAACTGAAATAAGATGCATAAGTTTGAGACTTGACATCCTCTAAATATCTGAAAAATACCGCGTGAATGGTGTTTCCATATTTTGTAGTGGATTCTTGTGGATCAATATTCATTTTCAAATTCAATCTTTCCGAAAGAAAATTTGTCAACCGCTCTGACCTTTTATCAGCGAAGTTGATGTTGAAAACGCCACCGAAGATGAGTGGAAATTTGATACCACTGATAATCCGATTGAAATACCTAATTTCAATCGTATTGTTCAATTCAAACCAGATACTATTCCAAAAGGTGGGGTAGCTATTTACCAAATAATAACGTTACTAATATTATGAATCCGAATATTGAATAATTTTTTTTTATTAAATTCCATATTTTGGTCTGCCGTTAAAAATTTTTATCTAAAATATTATTATTTTTGTTCTGTCCGTTCAGTTGATTTGTTCCCTTTGAGATGCCTAAAAGTATGCAAATATTTTGCGCATACTTTGTAGTATGACAAATATTACTTCAGCAATTCTCACTCTTGTGGTCAAAAGGGATCCAGGGCAAATGACAGCAATGGAAAAGCTTGAGGAAACAGTGTCACAGCAGAGTATTGCGACGGTAACGGAAGCGCCTGAAACGACTACTTCCCAGCAAGAATTAACTGATCAAGTAATCCCACTGCAGACATCAGTGATGGCAGCGATTGATGTAATGCAGCCTAATGTGGAGGAAGAACTACATGTTACACGAAATCTCAATGAGATTACCCGCAAAACGAAAGATAATCTCGTTAATGTGGAACATGAACTGAAAGCAGAAGAATTTGCCTGGTACTTTTTGTTTCCTCTTGGAAAGAATGGTTTTAAAGAAGAAAGACCAGTAAAAATTACAGCATTAGACTACTTCCAGTTCAGAATTTTGGGAAGTGATACAAGATTTCAACGCAACGATTATCTCTTTTATGCCTTATCCTTCTTTGAATATTATCGTATCAAAAGCACTATTTCAGAATGTGGCAGGAAAATCGTTAATCAAGAAGGAGCGGTTGAAGACGTCCATCTGTATGTGAAAAATTTGAGAGGTTCTGCAGCTTATTGGAGATCAGCCTTGAATGAGCTATTAGTTAAATCAGATGTTTAGGAGCCCCAACCTATTTCGTAACATTTAGCTCAAATGATCTCAACTGGTTGGATCAACGAAAGGCCTTGTTAATAGCAGATGGTGGACCTGATGTTGATCCTAGTACGATTGACATTTATGAGGCTCAAAGACTTATCGAAAAGTACCCAGTAATCTTGAGTCGACATTTTATGATTCGAGTAAATGCTCTAATGAAATTTATCAAAAATAATGACGAAGTATTTGGCGGCAAAGTAAAAGACCATTGGTGGCGTACTGAATTCCAGAATCGGGGAAGTCCTCACCTTCATATGGTGATTTGGATTGAAAATCATCCAGAGTTTAACTCAGAAGAAGGGAAACAGCTTCTTGATCGTAACTGTTGCTGCAAACTGCCTACAGAAGAAGAAGATTCAGAGCTTCACGATATAGTTAATAGATGTCAAATTCATCGGTATAGACCAACATGTACGAAAAATAATACCTCTGTAAGATGCCGATTTAATTTCCCGCGTCAAGAATGCGTCGAAACACGAATTGTGTCCCATTCTTTGGATGATTTTATTCGTAACGGGGGTAGAATCTGTCTACTAAAGCGTCGAAAAGAAGATGCGTGGGTGAATAATTACTACCAAGAGTTATTAAGACTGTGGTCAGGAAACATGGATATTCAGCCATGCGGGTCAAACGAAGCGATAGCGTACTATATAGCAAAGTACATATCGAAATCAGAACCTGAAGGCGTAGATTCTGGAATTGCGCAGGCAATACAGCAAATTCAACGTGAAGAGACTGATCTCTCACGCAAACTGTTCAGGATATGTATGAAGATTCTTCATGAACGACAAGTATCAGCTGCAAAATGTGCGTATCGACTGTGTCATATCCCATTACGGGACAGCTCGCGAAGCTGCGTTTTTCTGAACACAAGAAAACCAGGACAGCGTTACAAAATATTGCAGTTTGACAAAAGCGGACACGCAATTGGCTATTATAACAATATTTTTGAAAGATATGAAAAACGTCCATTACAGCATCCTGACTACGATTTTGCGAATATGAGCCTCACAGAATTTGCAATGTTGTTCGAACCATTCTATCCGAAAAAGACAAACGATATCGAGGAAAGTGTAGATCATGATGTCTATGAAGAACGTCCAAATACACGTCGCACACTCATCGCCTTGTTAGAAGGTAAAAACCAAATGGTTGTTAGAAATATTCCTGCAGTTGTGAGAGTGCCATACTTTATAGCTGCATCAGATCCAGAAAACTTCTTCTACAGCTTACTCATTCAATATATGCCGTATCGTTCAGAAGCTGAACTACTTGAAGGTTTTAAAAATGCAAAAGATGCTTTCTTAGATCATGAAGACCGTTTGAAGCAAATGAGTAGATATATGCGCCAATTTCGAGAGCGGGATCAACAGCTTGAAAATGCATTCAATCAAGTTCATGCATTTGAAATTTTAGAACAGCCAGAAATTATCAATCGTGAACTTGACGAAAAAGAATTACCAGAGATAGAAATGAGCAATGATCAATTCCAGAGGGCACAGCAGTCTCTGAATGCTGATCATAAACAACTGTTCATCTGTGTCACAGAGAGCATTAGGAAACAACTTAATGGTTGCGTTATACGAGAGAGAATTTTCGTAACTGGACAAGCAGGCACCGGAAAAACTCTTCTCTTTAATGTACTGAAAAACCAAGTTAACCGATGTTATGGAAAACCGGTTGTGAAAGTTGGTGCTCTTACTAAAACTACCAGTACAAAAAGATGGAGTAATTGTTAGCATGCCACTTCTGACTGGTAATTATCTGAGAGTGATGCGCCAATTATGGCTAAACGTCGAGTTCCTGTTCATAGATGAAATTTTTATGGTACCGTATGAAATGCTTTGCATGATCGACTCTCGTTTGCGTTAACTGAAAAACCCGAACGCTTGTTTCGGAGGTATAAATGTTGTACTCTTTGGTGATCTAATGCAGTTACCACCTGACATCAAGTATTTCAACAGCCAGAACACATGAAACCCGCTTCACATTTGTGGCGGCAATTCTGCCTATTTAAACTCAAACAAAACATGCGCCAACAAGGAGACAAGACATTTATAGATGTGCTTAACGCTCTAAAAGTTGGAGAATTAACGTCTAAGCATCTTGAAGTTCTTCTGAATAAAGTGTCAACAGATACTACTGGAGAATTTTCAATTGAAAAAGCTTTGAGAATTTATCCGACATTTGAAGATAAAGGAACTACTATTTACACAATTAAAGCGCAAGACCATCTCATTGATGCTACACGAAATTTAGGTAATAAAGACGTAAGCTCTGTGATACCTAATGATATCAATAAATACAGGAGGTCTTCCTAATGTATTGAAAATATTCGTCGGAGCTAAAGTGATGTTAAGGTCGAACATTGACGTTTCAAAGGTAACATGGGCTTCATTACAGAAATTATATGGCCAAATTTTCGCAGGGACCAAGTATATGCGGAAGACATCCCGTCAGTCCGTATTAATTTCGATTCAGATGGTGCACACGTAATTAACCCACAATCGATTCAGTTTCCAGCAAAATACAGCTATGGAACTGCTGAGAGACGAATGCTACCAATAATCCTAAGTTGGGCATCGACTGTTCATAAGATGCAAGGCTCTACAGTTGATCATGCAATCATTTATTTAGGATTTCGGCTGTTTGCTGCTGGACAAGCATATGTAGCACTTAGCCGGTGCAGATCTTTGGACGGCATTCAGATTGAAGAACTTGACTGCTCCAAGTTGACAGGTAAGACCCCAAGTAACAACGAACGACTAAGAAATATTTCATAAGAGCCGTCATTATCAGTTGGTCGCCAATAATATAATATCGATTCACAAATCATCAAGCACAAGTTCATACAACTGTGTCTAAAATGATTAATTGAAAAATTTCATTTATATTTTTAGCAAGACACAATTATAAGATGATAGAATTCTGGTAAAAAGAGCCGAGAAAATATGAAATACAATCGAGTTCATAACGATGAGTCATACCATATATTGGTCATGCATTACATACTGTGATACTTCGTCCGAAAATGTACATAATGTAGACAGCTACAGCTACTATTTATTAAAAAATAATAAAATATAAATAAATATAGTTTAAAAAAACAAAAAAAAACGCTTTTAAAGAATATCGAACTAAAAAGTTGAAAATAAATATAGTTTAAAAAAACTAAAGACAGACGCTTTTAAAGAATATCGAACGAAAAAGTTGAAAATAATTTTAAAAATTAACTTAAAAAAATAGTATATAAAAAATGCTAGTATAATTGAGGAAAAAGCGTGGGGCGTTCGATATACAAAATTATATTTTTTAAGTTAATTTTTAAAATTATTTTCAACTTTTTCGTTCGATATTCTTTAAAAGCGTGTGTCTTTAGTTTTTTAAACTATATTTATTTTAATAAAAACTCCTTTGGGGAATTCATTTTATAGCAATCTAGTAAATTAATACTAATAAACTATTTGTTTCTGACTTAAATTTATACGGTTTTAAAATTACAAAATGCTTATCCTATGATATTCATTTCAGATGTGTAAATTTATACATATGTATGTATTATAGTCACTATTTTAGTTAGATCTGAACAATGATTAATTTATTTATAGTTAATTTTTTTTTTTTTACACAAGTTCGAAAGGTTCTACTCGCTTTAATCTTCTGGTAAGGCCATCATTGTTAAGGAGCTGGAGAGTCTCAATGTTGATATTATATGTTGTTGAAGTCGTTGTTCATGACTTTGAGCATACTTTTTGATGAAGTTGTCAACAGTTTCTACATTCAGATCCATATGCAAGTTGTCATTACGAATGTACCAGGGTGCATTAACAATACCACGAAGTACTTTGTTTTGAAAAATTTAGATAATTAATCTGTTGCTTTGACTGGTACAGCTCCAGAGTTGGATACCATAAGTTCAGATCGGTTTAAGGACTTGTTGATACAAGAGTAACTTGTTGTATATTGACAAGGCAGATAATCTGCCTAATAGTCAGTACATTTTTCTGTACTTAAGTTTTAATTCTTTTTGTTTTTTTTTTTTTTTGACATGTGATTTCCACCTATGTTTAGTATCAAGGGTCATACCAAGATATTTTGCTGTATTCTCATACGGAACTATTTTTTGGTTCATAAATATTGGTTTGTGCTGTATACGTTTATTGGTGAAATCGATATGCACTGATTTGGTTTCATTCAGCTTAATGCACCAAGTAGTTGTCCAGCGTTGCACTTCTGCAATGGCTTTTTGTAATTTTTCTGTTGACTCAATATTATTGTCGCCAACGGTCCCAATACACTACTTTGCGGAACTCCCGCTTGTATATTTTTTTAGAGCAGAAAAAGCGTCCTCTTGTTTGATTCTGAAATATAATTCTGATATATTATATATGATTTCAGAAATTTCGAGAATTGTGTTGAAGGAAACATTTTAAGTTTATAGTTCAATCCTGCATGCCAAACTTTATCGAAAGCTAGTGCTACATCAAGGAATATTGCTGAGCACACTTTTTTTCTTCTAATGTTTTTTCAATAGGATCAGTTATTCGATGAACCTGATCAATCGTAAAGTGTTGATTCCGGAAACCAAATTGATGATTTGGAATAAGATTTTTCTCATCAATGATTGGTTTTAATGTTTTCAATAAAAGTTTTTCAAACAACTGGTCGGTATGATGTGGTTTCATGGGGTGGCTTTCCAGGTTTGGGTATCATAATAACTTCAGCCACTTTCCATAATTACGGTACTTATTGTAGTCTGAATGATGCATTTATCAGATTGGTTATTTTAACTAATGCTTTCCTTGGTAGTCCTCTAAGTATCTGGCCGGTGATCAGGTCGAAACCAGGAGCTTTTTTAGGGTTCATGTTATTCTTAATTTCTTTTTTGATTTCAGCTAGAGAGACGCGTGGTATTTCCATATTTTCTTGTGCAGTAATGTTTGGTAATAGTGTTGTGTCATCCATCGTGTTAGGTTGAAAAATCGTTTCAAGGTGTTCAGCAAATCTGGATGCTTTCTGATAGTTATTTCTAGCCCATCTACCATCAATGTTTTTAATTGGAGGGGTTTGCATAATTGGCATCTTCAGTATTTTGGTAGACTTCCAAAGTGAATATTCAGTACTTGAGTCATTTGTAAGTTCACATAGAAACGCACTCATGGTATCGTTCTTAAATTGTTTAATTTCGCTTCTCAATTGAGACGTTAAGTTATTCAGTCTAGTTTTATCTTGTAGGGCTCTGGATTGTTGCCATTTTTTCCTCGCTTTTCTTTTTTCAAAAATTACTTCCAATATTTCTTTAGGATAATTGTTACCTTTTGGTCTTAAACAAACTTCAGATGTATTTTGCCACGCTGAATACTGGATATCATTGGTTAGTTTTTCTACATCCAGATCTAACTGTTCTTCAGATTGTAATGGAACTGTTAATTCAATTCTTTGGTCAAGTAAGATTCTAAAGCTTTCCCAATCAGTCCATTTTAGTCAGATATGGGTTAGCTGGTTTCATTATAATATTTTCACTTAAAGTTAGAACAATCGGCAAATGATTTGAATTTAAATCCAAAATATCTTCTATTTGCATGTAATTGCTTGAAACATCTTTGATGATAAAGAAATCAATAAGATCACGAAACTTGTTTGGGTCGGTAGGCCAGTATGTAAGTTTGCCCGTTGATAAAGTTTCACATCCATATTTTTGAACCGCTTTTAATAACTCCCTTCCTTTAATTGAGTGCGTTTCTGATATCAGGCACACGTCTAGTTTATTTATGTCCAGGATTGCCTTTACTTCTTGGTGATGATTGAGCAACCTATTTGCATTCCATGACATAATTTTAATTGTTTTAGCCATTAAGAGCTTCTTTTATATTTAGGTGCAGTCTTTTTAGTACTGCCCTCAAGTTTATTAACCCTTTTATTGATTTTAGAAAAAGAGTCTTCAAGGTTGGTCATTTTATCAAGAATGAGTTGAGTGGTTTGGGTAATATCCCCCTGTCTTTTGGTATCAATACCTTGCATTTCAGTACCTGTCGGAGCTACAGAGGCTACATTTTATTTTGAACGCTAGCAGTTATATTTATTTCTGGTGCATCTTTTACAATATTTTTTGGGATATGTTTGTTCAAATGGGCTTATGAATCTTTTTATTTTTGATTTTTTGCAGCTCTTTGGCTACAACGCATCCCCTGTAATTTGCTGGATGGGGCTCTGCACAATTGACACATTTTACTCTTTGGTTGTGAGGTTTTTTACAATTTACTGTAAGATGATTGCCTGCACATTTAACACATCTTGGCCCTTTGCATCAATAATTTTGCGTGTGGCCTGTCATTTTTTACATGGGGGGACTAGTTTATTTCCTTTCATTGGTTGGATTTCCACTTTACACCCAAGTATATGACTTATTTTCATTATTTTGTCTATGTTTTCTTCGTTGCTAAATGTCAACATAAACATGTTCAATGGCGTTTTTTCTTTCCATGACAATTTATTGATAGTAGAGATAATTTTAATCCCTTTTTCAGCTAAAAATTATACAACAACGCTAGGTTTACATGAGCGGTGCAGGTTTTTAGACATTACCCTTACTGGTTTTTTTGTTTATTTTCATATGAATAAAAATTATTTTTTTTAAGTAGCTTAATTGCTTCTTTATGATCATTTGACTCTCTACAATTCATTTGACTGTTGAGTGGTTGATTAATTTCATTTGAAAGGAACTTTCATTTATATGTACCCATAATCCCATGAAAAAAGTCTGGTGTAGTCAGGTCAGGTAACCTTGGGGGCCAGCGTAAAGTGGAGTTTCTTGATATTAATTTATTTTCAAATTTTTGTTGGAGCTCCGCAATAACTGATCTGGCTATGTGTGCTGTTGCTCCATCTTGCTTCAACCAAACGCTACGTCTTCGACGCAGTTCTGGGTAAAGTACTCATTCAAAAACTCTAAATAACGGTGCTAATTGACAGTTACTGTTACATCGTTTTCTTCAAAGAAATAACGCCCGATAATGTGACTCCTTCTGGGTGAAGTTCCGTCTAGTATTACGACAATTTTGCTTGTTTACATTTCCCTGTAGATCAAAATGGTCCTTATCAAACATAAATAGGCAATTTGTCAAGTTATTGTCTTCTTCGGACATTTCAATAATTTTTTTGCAAAATTCCAGGCGAGCAGGCGAATCTAGAGGCTTAACCATCTTTGTACGAGAACAGGTTTAAGTAATAATGAATTATCCGTTGTAATGACAGTCTGCAAACTCCAAGTTGCGCCGATAAGTTGAGAGTCGAAACTCTTAGATTTTCCTGAATTGGCGATGCAACAGCCGCGATTGTTTCTTGAACACGAACATACGGATCTCGATCGTAAGTTCTTCTTGTGATGCTTCCAGATTGGCCAAACCTGTTTACCAATCTCATAATGGTCCATCTATTAGGGGTAGTGCCGCCAAAATATATAAACCCTCTTTTCGTAATCCCAAGCATTCACTTTTAAAAATTTTAATAATAATATACCAAATAAAAAACAGTAAGTCGTAAGTTTTACATTCCATTACAATCGAATTTGGTATCATATTAACTTACTACTGCGATAACCTCTGCTAAATTACAGCTCTTTATTTTAATTTTGGGCAAATTTATAGGTTTTCGTTTAAAGGCGTTTTGTGGACGTGGCAGTGGTCCGATTACGCACATCTACGAACTCGGCCTTAACTTTTTACCACGAAATAAGTTTCATTGCGATATTTCAATTTTTATTCAAGTTACAGCTTCCACAGGCAGACAAACGAACGGAAAGACGGACATAAAACACAGTATCTATCTCAACTAGTTTAAGTTGATACAAACAACCGCTAGGTGAACAAAATTATTATACTCTATAGCAACATGTTGCAAGAGTATAAAAATCGCGGAAGTGACTTAAACCTTACGGCTTTGGACTGTCCATCTCGTTTTTAATAGATTGCCAATTTAATGACTTTTTCGACAC